CGGGGGGAGGGGGGAGGTATGGGTAGGGCACAGGTGGGGGCTGGACAATAGGCTCTGAGAAGCATGTCATTGTATTTGTATGTATAGTATAAAATAACTAAACTATCCAGATATCCATTATTAAGAAATAATCAAAAGAAATACAACACATACATAGAGTAGAATATTACGCAGCCCTTACAAAGAACAAAGGAAGGCATGGTCAGAGTTCTTGGATGCAAGCAATTAGACATGTCATGCCTGGCTGATAGCAGAAAGACCATTTCACAACTCCAGGATGCACAATCCACACTGGACTCCATGTAAATACCTGCCTCCTGCTATGTTTTTTGAAATGGTACAACTTGGAAGCTTTCCAAAGATATCAGGGAGTTTATAGAAATAATGATCAGAAACCAAGAAAGTCAGCCAAGGTCACCGGCAAGAATCATCTGGTCAGGATTTTGTCAGTGGCGCTCAACATCAGCCCCATCATAAATGACTTTCCAACTGTTTCTGCACCTTTGGCTTACTCTTTCAAGACTATATCCACAAAGAAAAGGCATAGAATAATGAAACCTCAGCCATGCATTTTATTTATTAATAAATGCTCATGTTTGTATATACTATATGCCAGTCACCGTTCTAAGAATGTTAAGTGGATGGTCTCCTGATTGCTTTATCTGAGTAAGTTTAATCCTCACAATTCTATGAGGTTGGTGCTATTAACTTCATTTTCTGAATGACAAAGCTCAGAAAACGTGTCCAATTTATTTGCCAAATAAGCAAATCTGGGATTCTAAACCAAGCAAACTGGGTTTGGAGCACTATGCCAGCTGCCTCTATAGGCTTAGGAGACTTCCAGAAGGAATCGAAAGAAACGATTCTGTAGTAATCTCTAGGGAATGGGATTAATGGAAGCAGGGGATCCTTTTTTCACTTGATAGGTTCTATGCTATATACGTTTTATTTGTTCATTTTTTGAGACATTCTCACCCTGTTACCCAAGCTGGAGTGCATGGCACAATCTCAGCTCACTGCAACCTCCGCCTCCCAGGCTCAAGCTATCCTCCCACCTCCACCTCCCAAGTAGCTAGGATTACAGGTGCATGCCACCATGCCCACCTAATTTTTCTACTTTTAGTAGAGATAAGGTTTCATCATGTTGGCCAGGCTGATCTCAAACTCAAATGATTCACCTGCCTCAGCCTCCCAAACTGCTAGGATTACAGGCGAGAGCCACTGTGCCCAGCCTAAGTTTTAACAATGACCTTCGATGGCTTGTACAATGAAAAATATTTTTAATACAAAGGTTTTATCTATCTGATTTTTTTTTTTTTTTGAGACGGAGTTTCGCTCTTGTTACCCAGGCTGGAGTGCAATGGTGCGATCTCGGCTCACCGCAGACTCCGCCTCCCGGGTTCAGGCAATTCTCCTGCCTCAGCCTCCTGAGTAGCTGGGATTACAGGCACACGCCATCATGCCCAGCTAATTTTTTGTATTTTTAGTAGAGATGGGGTTTCACCATGTTGACCAGGATGGTCTTGATCTCTTGACCTCGTGATCCACCCGCCTCGGCCTCCCAAAGTGCTGGGATTACAGGCGTGAGCCACCGCACCCGGCCCATTCTATCTGATTTTTTTGGTTTTAGTCTGTGTATGTGAAGCCAAAAACTAAGCTAGCCCTGAGGGAAGGAGGGCTCAAGGGCGCAATGAGCCACCAAGGAATTCTGCAGGGGTTGGAGTTGGAGGGACGATTTGTTGGGGGCCTGAGATGAGAAAGAAGCGGAGGAGGAGGTGATTGCCGCCATTCTTCTGCATGCTGCCCGTTTGGTAATTGATAGTTTTCTTTCCATTCACTATCCTGGGTCCAAAGAGCCAGAAGAGTAGACAACCCTTGGAGACAGCAGCTGTGCCAGCTGCAGAAATGGAGCGAGCTGTGAGCTAGACTAGAAGGAGCGAAAGGTCAAAAACCATGGAGACACAGAGCCAGACACCACAGAGAGAGGCAAAACTCAGAGAGGGAGCCCAGCACTAGGCTGAAGTGACAGGCCCTTCCTGACCTGCACTTAACTGCCCAAGGCCACGTCTAGTGCATGGTAGTAAGTCTAAGAAACAGCTCTGGAAGTACTATCTCTGCTAACCATGAGGGAAGATACCGTCTTGTTTTCATGATTCAAACTCTCCAGGGAACCAAGAGGGCTGAGGGGGCTGAGTTCCCTCTGCAGGACCTGGGCCCAGGACTCCCCGGCATGTCCGTGCTCTGTTCCTCATCTTAACAAGCTCTGAAAGCCATATAAACCCCTGCTTGTCTGGGCACCAAGAGACCCAGGCCCGGGGTTCTTTGTCCGGGTCGGTGCCTTCTCCTTCTGAGCTTTCTTGGCAGTGTGACTCTCATCGCACTGTTACTTGGGTTCTCACTTTCGGTTCATGGGTTAATGGATGTTTGTTTTACTGAATTCACGAGTCCTTTGTAGGTCTTCTACCCCATCACATAGGATGGGGGTATATACAAAGAAGCAAGGGCTAGCTGCCCTTATATTGGGCATGATTAGGGAACTGGAATTCCATTCTATCCGGCAGGGTAGAGGGGGTAGGAAGAAAGGGAAATGCGAGAAAGGAACCAAGAGGTGAGCAAGGGAACCAGTACCTGTCAACACCAGCATGCACCTGGTACGTAGCAGGGCTGGTCTTCGAATCCAGCACTACGGGGCTAATGCTTGGGAACCGAAGCAGCTTGTAGGCTTCAGTGGTGGGGCTGGCAGAGTGAGGAAATGAAGGGAGAAGGACAGGCTCTGCAGCCCAAGTGCCAGATGCCAAAGGCCTGCAAAGGCTCTAGGACCCAGCTCCAAATCAGAGCTCCAGCGCCATCCAGTGGCCACGAGGGAGATTGCAGGAGAAACGAACGTAAGAAACCCGAGAAGGCAGTGCTGGCCAGCTCCAGGGAGGAGGATCGGAAGAAGCCTGGCCTTTGCCCTCAGTGCTCCCTTTCAGTTGACTATCCTGCTCCAGTTTGACCTCCCCACTAGGCTTCTTCCTGGCACAACTGGTGCTTTCTCTCTGTGTGATCTTGGGCAGGCAACTCTGGCCTCTAGGCCTCAGTTTCCACAAATGTAAAATGAGTGGTAAGGCAAGGTGAGGTCACATGCCAAGTGGTGTCCATAGGGCTTTAGCTCATCTGATCCTCATGGCCAGTTAAGATGATCATTCCCACCCCCCATGCTCCAGTCTCTCCTGACCACACATAGTACATGCTTTACTCACCTATAAAGCATGGCCTCCTGTGAAAATGCCAGCCACTGTTTAACGAACACCTCTCCGGAATTTCTCCCTCCTCTCATCTGAAGTTCCCTTTTTCTGCTTCAGGTTTAGTCGGGTGGACTGCAGCCCTTCTAGCCTGGAGCTTCCGCAACTCAACAGCTTTTCTCAATCGTCAGTTTCTACCTCTTCACCAAGCCTAGCAAGGTGCCTGGCACAGAGTGCTTAAGAGCAGCTGCTCTGAAGTCCCCAGCCTGGCTTCAAGCCCCATGTGGTAGGCAGAATAGCCGTCCCCACAAAGATGTCCACGTGTTAATCCCTGGAACCTGTGATTATGTCACCTCACATTACAAAAGGGTCTTTGCAGATGTGGCTAAGATAGAGAGCCTGAGATGGGATGATTATCTTTGATTATCAAGGTGATGCCAATATAATCAGAAGGGTCCTTATAAGACAGAGATGGAAGAGTCAGAGTCAGAGAAAGAGATGCGCTGATGGAAACAGGTTGAAGTGATTTGGGGCCAGGACCCAAGGAATTCAGGTAGCCTCTAGAAGCTGGAAAAGGCCAGGAAACAAAAGCCACCAGAAGGAATAAAGCCTCACCAACACATCTTAGACTTCTGACCTAAAAACTGTAAGGTAATAAATTTGTGTTGTTAGCCACTCAATTTGTGGTAACTTATTAGGGCAGCCATAGGAAACATCCTGGTTCAGTTTCTTACTGGTTATGCTACTGTTGGAAACTTAACCTTTCTGTGCCTCAGTTTCCTCATCTGCAAAATGGGGATGATAAAAGCAATAATTCTTATTTCATAAGATGGTTGCAAGGATAAAATGAAAACCAGTTACAATAATGCCCAACACTAAATATGTTAGCTACTTAACATATTTAACAGCCTGCAGAAGAGTGGTGGCAATCACCTGCAAATCAGTTACAGTAATGTCCAACACGAAATATGTTAGCTATTACTATAAGAATAGTTAACAGCTACCATTAATTGAGGGCCTGACAGGTACCAGGCACAGTGTCACATGCCTTAGAAGAATGTCCTTGATTCTCCCCATCACCCTTGGGGGTAAGAATTCCAGTCTCTACCTTGCAGATGAGGAAATAAACACAAAATAACTTTCCCCAAATCACTCTAGGAAGCATTTTAAACTTCTTGGTTTCTTGCATGCACCTGGAAGATGGTACTGGTTTGTGTTCGTTGCTGATAGAAGTGTTTTCCGCGGGGTTAGGAGGGTGACAGAAGGAAGGCCCCAGGCTGGGTAGGCAGGGGTCCTGGCTGATACCTCCTCCTCTTCCCACCTAGTGCAGGAGGGAGTTAAAATCGGGCAAAGCTCATTTATCCACTCCCACTCCATCCATTTGGGGTTCAATTACTGCCTCTCGGTTTCCCACCAATGCCACCCCCACCCCGCACCCCTCACCCGCGCTCAGCCCTAGCAGCTTTTGAGCCAGATTTGGGGGCACCATGGGATAGGCCTGGCCGGAGAGCAAAGCGTTCAATCCGCTGGAGAGTGGGGTGGCGCAGACTTGCTCAGACCCCAGGGATGCCTGTTGAACCCCCTCCCTTCCCGCAGCCTGCATAAGGAACCATCTGTTCTCCGCTGAACAAACAAGCAGGGGAAAGTAGCGCCCCCGCGCCCGACCCCCGCACAATGCGCCTTTCTCCAAGGAGACGCCGCCCGGGCGCCGGCAGAGCGTGCTCCGTCTGGCTTCCCCTCCCGCTGGCGGTGCAGCAAGACCCAAAAACGGACCCGGTGGAAATCAGATTTTTTTTTTTTTTTTTTTAAGAAAAAACAAATCCAACAAAGAACTGAGAGCAGCACGCGGCGAGGGCGTGCCGGTCTGGCACGTGCCCCTTCCCCCACCACCCGCTATCCCCGTGACCCCCGCAGTCCGCCTTCTGGTCCGGGCGAGGCCAGCTCAGCGCAACGCTGGAAGCCCGCCAGCGCCTCCGCCCGGACAGCCCAATCCCGACGGGCCCAGGTTCTGCCTGGCCCCGGCGCCCCAGTGGCGCGCAACTGGCACGGTCCGTGGGGCCGCGCCCCAGCCCGAGTGGCCCTCACTTCTGGTTGGCCAGATGCTTCTCCAGATCCTCCAGGCGCGCGGTCAGCTGGGCCAGTGAGCGGTTAAGGAAGCCGCTGCGGATCGCCGCGGTCCCTTCACTTTCCCTCCAGCCCGGGCCACCAGCCCCAAAGGATATGGTTCCGCGTCAGGTTCTCGAGCGCCCCGAGCGTGCGGCCCTGGAACTCCACGAGGCTTTCGCATTCACATGGGCTCCGAAGCTCTGTCCCGGCGCTGATGCCCTCCTCTGCAAGCCGGCCACAGAGGGTCGAGGGATGAGAAATTGCGCTAGCCTTGGCCCTCTGATTTCGCTGCACTGGGCCTATGGTTGAGTCTATGGGCTTTGGATTCAGAGAGACCTGGGCTAAGTCCCAAGGTAAGTAGCTGTGAAGTACTGAGAAACTCACTAACCTTTCTAAGCTCAGTTTCCTCATCTATAAAATGGATATAATGAAAGAATGTATGCATTAGTGGCTTCGAGGATTCAGTCACCTGTGTATGTGTGCGTGTGTGTGCGCATGTGCACAACTTACAAGAGTGTTTCTCAAACCTTATTGCTCATTGGAATCATCAGGAGAGCTTGTTAACATATAGATTCTGATTCAGAATGGGGAAGGAGTTCAGAAGTTACATTTCTAATAAGATCCTAAATGAGGATGGTGCTTCTGGTCTGTGGACCCCACTTTGAGTAGCACTCTCCAAATAAAGTTGTATGCAATGATGGAAGTGTTCTATACCTGCCCTATCCGAAGCAGTAGCCACAAGCCACATGTGGCTGTTTAACGCTTGAAATGTGACTGGTGCCACTAAAGGTCTAAAATTTATTTTATTTCAATCCATTTTAATTAAATAGGTACCTGTAATAGCTACTGCCTACCTTTTTGAAAAAGCACAGATGTAGAACACTGCCTGGTTCAAGTAAATACTTTACAGCAGGGGTCCTCAACCCCTAGGCCATGGACCATTACCAGCACATCACACGAACCAGTACCAGCCCATGGCCTGTTAAAAACTGAGCCACACAGCAGGAGGTGAGCAGCCAGCAGGCAAGGGAGCTTCACCTGTATTTCCAGCTGCTCCCCTTAGTTCCCATTACAACCTGAGCTCCTCTCCTGTCAGACCCATGGCATTGTTAGATTCTCATGGGAGCACAAACCCTATTGTAAACTCTGCATGGGAGGGATCTAGGTTGCTGGCTTATTATGAAAATCTAATGCCTGATGATCTGTCACTGTCTCCCATCACCCACAGATGGGACCATCTAAGTGCAGGAAAGCAAGCTGAGGGCTCCCACTGATTAGACATTATGGTGAACTGGATAATTATTTCATTGTATATTACAATGTAATAATGGAAATAAAGTGCACCATAAATGTAACGTGCTTGAATAATCCTGAAACCATCCTCCCCACCACCATCATGGAAAAATTGTCTTCCACAAAACCAGTCCCTGGTGCCAAAAAGGTTGTGTATCACTGCTTTGTAGTGTATTTCAACTAGACCAGTGATTCTCAAAGTGTGGTCCTTGAACCAGCAGCATCAGCATCATGTAGGAATTTATCAGAAATGCAAATTATCAGACACCACCCCAGACATCCTGAATCAGAAAATCTAGAGTTGAAGCCCAGCAATTTGTGTTTTTAAAGGTCCTCCAGGTGATTCTGATGTACCCTAATTAGTGGTTTAGAAACCACTAATTCTGATCCAACTCTAACTCCCTATACATCTCAGCATCTTGAGGGTTGGGCAGGAGACCTTATAATTAAAATTGGCACGTTTTTTCTTAGTAGCACATAAAATAATGGTGAATCTTAAAATGAATGGTATCTTAGTTCACTAAATTTCTATAAGCATGTGCCATTGTTAAGATTACAGGGAGGCCGGGCGAGGTGGTTCATGCCTGTAATCCCAGCACTTTGGGAGGCCGAGGCAGGTGGTTCATGAGATCAGGAGTTCAAGACCAGCCTGGCTGAGATGTTGAAACCCCGTCTCTACTAAAAATACAAAAAATTAGCCAGGAGTGGTGGCGGGCGCCTGTTATCCCAGCTACTCAGGAGGCTGAGGCAGGATAGTCGCTTGAATTCGGGAGGCAGAGGTTACAGTGAGCCAAGATCATGCCACTGCACTCCAGCCTGGGCAACAGAGCCAGACTCCATCTCAAAAAAATAAAAAAAATTACAGGGAATGACTTTTAAAAAATGCTACAACAAAAGTCCCTTAGGAATACAAAGGAAAAGGATTACAAGTAGTGAAATAATAAGCCCAATGCCCGTCCTTTAGCCTTCAACAACACTGCTGTAATGATTTAAAAGTTGTCTCTTCATCTTGGTCTTGTATGTACTGTTAACAAACTGCTGTAAGTCTTGTTATTGACAACAATCCAGCAAAGATCCCTAATTTTACAGATGGAGAAACCAAGGGTTGGAGACAGGAGACAGTGATACCACCATTTAGTAAAGAGCCTTGACCACAGAGCCCAGACTTCTCTCAGAACTCCAGAGCTAGAGGTAAACTTGGGCAGCCAGTGCCTCCTCCGCTACAGAAAAGAAAAGTTAAGGTAGGGGTGGGGGTAAGTGACTTGTCCAAAGTCACACTGTGGGGCATGTAAGAGTCAGCACAGGAAGAACCCTGAAAGAGCAGCTAATTCAGGGACTCCACAATAATTAAAATTAGCTTGGGGGGTGGGGGTGAAGTGTGTGTGTGTGTGTGTGTGTGTGTGTGTGTGTGTGTGTTTGTATATGTATATACATATACTTTTTTTTGAGACAAGGTCTCACTCTGTCACCAGGCTGGAGTGCAGTGGTACAATCTCGGCTCACTGCAACCTCCACCTCCCAGGTTCAGGCAATTTTCCTGCCTCGGTGCCCGCCACCATGCCCAGCTAATTTTCATATTTTTTGGTGAAGACAGGGTTTCACGATGTTTCCCAGGATGGTCTTGAACTCCTGATCTCAAGTGATCCACCCGCCTTGGTCTCTCAGAGTGCTGAGATTACAGGCATGAGCCACTGCACCTGCTCCTACAACATATACTTAAAAAACAAAACAAACAAACAAACAAAAAAAACCACAGATTCTCCAGATCCAGACCAGCCCTACTTAATCTGCTTTCTGGAGCTAGAGCCTGATAAACTGCAAGAAGAGTCACATCTTAAGCCTGGGTTACTGTCTAAAGAACCTAGGGTAAAAGTTACCCTGGAGACATTCCCTATATCACCCAGGGCACAATACACCCAATTCAGGAGCCCCCTTCTCCTCCACAGATAGAGTTAGTCTTTTGGCTCAGCTGAGCGCCAGATGATGAAGCAGAAGGATTGCACTTAAGAGCTGCATTGCTCCCCCAACCAAAACAAAACAAAACAAAACAAAATGAAAAACAAACAGTCCTGCGTGTACTTAAAGTATACTCAGTTCTGCCACTTTGCCAAGTTCATAAGGTTGAATTCTAACAAGTACAGGGGATATATGCTGTAACTCCACTTACAAATGCTGTCTGGTGTGCCTTCAAAAAAATTTTCCCAAATTATTCTGAACCTCCACTGATTTGGGGGATGGGTAGCTTAGTCTAGGGTTTCTTAGACTTTAATATGCTTACAAATCACCTGAGAATCTTGTCGAGGTGCAAATTCCGATTTATTCAGTCTGGAGAGCACCAGAAATGTTTCAGTTCTAAGAAGCTACCGGGTCACCGCCCTGCTGCTGGCCTGTGGACCACCTTTGGAGGAGCAAAACTCTGCCTAGTGAGCCCACCCTGTGGCTATGACTACAAAGAGGGTAGGGGTGACTAGGAAGGGGAGCTATCAGAGGGTGGGCAGTGAGAGAGAGGAAGAGCCCCGAGAGAGGTGCTCTCACCTGGGCAGATGCTGCCTTTCAGGTTCTCCAGCACGTGCGTCATGGTTCCGAAGTCCGGGGCATAGGACACGTGCAGCTCTGCTGGCTCCGAGGCGATCTCGCGCAGCTCCGCCTCCACTGCCTTGCCCACGCCCACGGCGTACATGACGATGCCTACAGGGCCGGGGACTCAGAGGGTGCCCCAGGCCTCGGAAAAGCTGCCTCCCCGCGTCTGACCCAAGCCCAGCCTATTGTGTCCCATGCCAAGCCCACCTTCCTCCTTGGCACGCGCTGCCCACACCGAGATGTCATCCTGGGAGCGGCCGTCGGTGAAGATCAGGCCAACGCGAGGCACATTGAGGGCACGGGGCCGCGCACCCTGTGCCTCGGAGAAGCTGTGCTCCACCATGTGCCGCAGCGCCAGCCCTGTCATGGTGCCGCGCTCCATGTACTCCACGGCCAGGACCGCCTTCTTCACCTCGGCTGCGGTGCCGTAGCGGCCCAGAGGGAACTCGGTGCGCACGCGGCTCGAGAACTGCACCAGCCCCACACGCGTGCCCTCGGGGGACACATCCAGGAAGTCCACAATCTGGTTCACGAAGCGCTTCACCAGCTCGAAGTTTTGTGGACGCACGCTCTTGGAGCCGTCAACCAGCAGAACAAGGTCCACATGGCCTTCCCGGCACCCTGCATGGCCAGAAAAGCTTTAATTGAGGGACCAGATTCTTGACTGGCAGCAGCTGTCTATCCATCTAGTCATTCATTCGCAAACATTTGTTATATAACAGACAAAATTTCCTGAGTCTTTGCTGTGCTGGGCAGTGTAATAATTATCACCATCATCACAACCACCACCACCACCACCACCACCACCATCATCATCATCATCATCATTGCCGTTGACATTTATTCAGTGCTTAGAACAAACCAGACACTGCTAAAAGCAACTTTTTAACAACAATCATAATAATGACCACAATAACTACTATTTATTGATCATCTACTATGTATCAGGCACACTTCTAAGCACTGTACCAATATTAACAATAATAATAACAAAAACATTATTCACCGACAGCTTACCATGTGGCAGGTACTGGGTGAAGGGCTTATATATATTCTCAATCCTCCCAATAAGCTTGAATATTGTCCCCATTTTCTATAACCTGAGGTTCTGATGGATAAAGTGATTGCCCCAGATTTCATAGTTAGTACTGACTGAACCAAGACATGAAGCCAGGTCCATCTGACTCCAAAACCAATGTTCCTGAATCACTCTACAATGCTGCCTTCCCTATTCTGAGCCAGGGAATTTGCTAGGACCAAAGAGGGTTCAACAAGAATTAAAACATAATCCTGATCGACGAGGGCAGAGCAGAGCAAGTCAGACATGGCATATGCTCTGGTCAAGGAAAGTGCTAGAAGAGAAGATCGCGCGGCCAGGCACGGTGGCTCATGCCTGTAATCCCAGCACTTTGGGAGGCTGAGGGAGGTGGAGTTTGAGACCAGCCTGACCTAAGGTCGGGAGTTTGAGACCAGCCTGACCAATATGAAGAAACCCCATCTCTACTAAAAATACAAAATTAGTTAGGAGTGGTGGTGCATGTCTGTAATCCCAGCTACTTGGGAGACTGAAGCAAGAGAATCTCTTGAACCTGGGAGGCGGAGGTTGCACTGAGCCCAGATTGCGCCATTGCACTCCAACCTGGGCAAAAAGAGTGAAACTCTGTCTCAAAAAGAGAAAGAGAGAGAGAGACAGAGAGAGAGAGAGAGAGAAGAACATGCAGCAAGAAGATTGGGGTGTGTGTGTGTGTGTGTGTGTGTGTGTGCAGCAGGGGGAGGTGTTGATAGTTGTGCCATCTAAGAATCAGAAAGCAGGACCTCATTAGACACATATCTGCTGGCACCTTGGTCTTGGACTCCCCAGCCTCCAGAACTGTGAAAAATAAATGTTGTTAAAGCCACCCAGTCTATGGTACTTTGGTATAGCAGCCTGAATAAACTAAAACAGTCTTGAAAGATCAGTAGGAGTTTGCCAAGGCAGTAAGGGACAGTCCAGAAGGTGGGATGCAGCATGTGCAGAGGCATGCCGAGCTCCAGACACATTCAGGGAAGGGCAGGCCAGTAAGACTGAAATGTTCAAGTGTGGCAGGAGATGGGCTGATGGAGTTGGCTGAAGCTAAGGCAGTGGTTTCAAAATTTTTATCACAGCCCACAGCAAAAATAATAATAATGAGAATACATATAGAACTAAAGTTTCAAGAATAATATAACTATTTCTACAGGCAGTAAACTCTATGTTGTCTTCCATTCTTTATTATTTTTTTAATGTTGGTTGTAACCCAGTAATTTGATTTCATTATCCATTAATGTGGTTTTGCTCACCATTTGAAACACTTAGGGCTAAGTCATTTGATCCTTCTTCTGTAGCTTATGTGCAAAGGAGGAGTGCGATCAAATATATATTTTTTAAATTAACATTGGCAGCCAAGTAGAGGATTTCGGGGAAAGAGATGGAGGCAGGGAATGGCATCCCCTCCAACGTCACCCCCACAACACACACACACATTCACACCACAGCCTAGGGGCCACAGCAAGGGCAAAGTCAAGGACATTCAGAATGTGGGCAATCAGGCAGAAGCAGACAGAACACCCTCCCACCCATCACTTACTGCTGCAGCTCTTGCCATCTGCCTGAAGTTGCCGCCCCTCGGGGCACAGGCAGCGGAAGGAGAGGCCCTCGCTCACACACTGGAACTCACAGCCATGGTCCACGCCATTGCAAAGGTCCCGGGCTTAAAGGAGAGACAGGGCAGGATGAGTCAGGATGAATCCCACCAGCTAAGGTCTCTTATCCATCCCACAAACGTAGGAAAGCCCTCCTCACCCTGACAGCTCCTCCCATCGGGCTGCAAGTCGTGGCCCTCCCTGCAGTGGCACCGTGGTCCACCAAGGGTGCTAACACACTCGTGCTGACAGCTATGGTTCCCGAAGCTGCAGTAGTCAATGGCTGCCCAGAGGGAAGAAACAGCAAGATGTCACCTCTGACTGGAGCCCTCGGAGGCCACAGTCCTGGTGTGGCAGGAGGGCGGGGTTGTTGCTCACCCCTGCAGCTCCTCTGGTCTTGCTGGAGTACAAAGCCAACCTGGCAGCGACAGACATAGGAGCCCGGGGAATTGATGCAGTGGTGCTCACATGCATGGGTCCCTTCAGCACACAGGTCAATGGCTGAGGAAGAGATGAGCTCAGTCCATGCCCAGGGCTGCCCTTCTCAGCTCTGGTAGCACAACCGCCTGAAGAAATTTCTTTTCTTTTTTAACCAAAATCAGGTGGAATAAGAAATTTTTAAGAACACCTATGCCTGGGTCCCAACCCCAACAATCCTGACCTAATTAGTCAGGGCCCCTGTCCTCAAGATGCTCTCTGACTTACAGAGGACAGGTTTGGCCACTTTACCTGTCTGAGCCTCCATTTTGCTATTTGCAAAATGGGAATATAAGGGAAGAGAGTGACTGCTCTTTACAGCTTGCTTCTGTGGAAGAGGGGGAACTATTGCCCTGTTGAGCATCTGGATGGTCTGGATATGCAAAGATGGCCAAGAGTTGGACTGAAGAGAGGATAATTACCCTGTATAAAAAAAGTGAGAATTGGCTGGGCAGCGTGGCTCACGCCTGTAATCTCAGCACTTTGGGAAGCCAAGATGGGCAGATCACTTGAGGTCAGGAGTTCGAGATCAGCCTGGCCAACATGGCGAAACCCCATCGCTACTAAAAATACAAAACTTAGCTAGGCATAGTGGTGGGTGCCTGTAATCGCAGCTACTAGGGAGGCTGAGGCTCAAGAATCACTTGAACCCAGGAGGCAGAGGTTGCAGTGAGCTGAGATCGCAGCATTGTGCTCCAACCTGGGCAACAGAGCAAGACTCTGTCTCAAGAAAAGCAAAACAAATTAAAAAGACAGAAACAAGTTTGGGAAGTGGTTTGGAGCCAGGTAGGAGACTAGCCTAAAAACAGGGAGAAAGAGGAGCAGAAAGCATGCTTAACTGTGGGCTCCCACCAGGGACTCTTGTGACCCCAGGCAATACCTTTCCTTCTTAGGCCTGTAAAGTGACGGAGGTGTGCTTTTACTGCCAAAGGCCCTTCCAGACTCATCGGTCTGATGTTTGGGCAATGGGGAGGCAAAGAAGGTTCAGGAGCAGTGAGATTGCAGGGCAGGGGTAGCTCTCACCCAAACAGCTCTTGATATCTGCTGCTAGCTTGTAGCCCCGGTAGCAGGCGCAGTGGAACGTGCCCGGGGCGTTGACACACTGGTGCTGGCAGCCATGTCTCCCCTCAGCACACCAGTCCTTCCCTGAGGACACACAGGACTAGACTCAGTAGAGAACAGATAGGCAGAAGCCTCCAACAAGAGAGAGCTGGGTGGGGATGGGATCAGAGGCAGGAATCACCCTCAAATGGCTTTCGGAAGGAAATAACTCATCTGAGAGGGGTGTACCAGGTAGGAGGGCTTAGGGAAAGAATAAGGCTTGAGGAGCCCCTGCGAGTAGGTTCAGAAGAGGGGGCACCCAGTTAGACATGTCAGTGGGATAGAACAGGACTCCACAGGGACAGGAATAGGTAGGGAGGTGGAGAGGTGGGCGGAATAAACTCAAAACGTGGCTAGAACAGATCTTGCAGCATTTGTGGGAGGAGCTAAGATGATAATGGAAGGAACCATCCCCATGAGGGAAGGCCGTGACCCTTTGGAGCAGCTGATAGCCGTCAGCTTTGAGAATCACTGGTTCCTTGTGTACAGGGGGTTGATGTTGGAGTTTGACATTAAGCCTGTGGTAAGCTGTGGCGGGCAGGGCAAGAAACTATAGGTTGCTCCTTGTTGATGGAGCCTGAGCAGAAATGGTCAGAGCTGAGATCTGAAACAGTCTGCGGTAGGTCCAAGCAACTCTACCTGGAAAGCGCTGGGCCACCCCGAGGGATGGGATTTACTGTGGTGGGAAAGGAATTCAAGCATTTGGATTGAGAGTTGGAGCCTCCCTCCAGCACTCTCCTAACTCACCACACAGCCGGCCCTGGAACTGTAGGCCGAACTCCTGGATGAGGTCAAAGGACTCTACGAGGAAGACGTGCTCGTCCAGCGGGGGTGATGCCATAGCGCGCAAGGAGCCCACGTCCGCGCGCTGCACCCCCACCGCGTAAATTTCAATGCCACGGGCGCGCGCCTGCGCCGCCACCTCGGCCACGCGGTCCTGAGGCCGCCCGTCCGTCACGATGACAGCGACACGTGGCACACGCTCCTCCGGCGGGCGCGCGCCCTCAGCCACGCTGAAGGCCACGTTCATGGCGTACTGGATGGCCAGTCCCGTCATGGTGCCTTGCGCCAGCGGCACCAGGTCGCGGATGGCGCGCTCCATGTCCTCGCGGCGCGAGAAGGCGCGGAGAGAGAAGACACTCTGCACTTGACTCGAGTACTGGATCACACCAACGCGCGTGGCGTTGGGACCCACGTTCAGGCCGCGGACAAGGCCCACGAGGAACTGCCGCATGGTCTCGAACTCGAAAGGGCTAACGCTGCGGGAGCTGTCAATCACGAACACCAGATCCAGAGGTCCAGTGTGACACCTGGGACCTGCAGGGAGATCAGGGAAGACTCTTCTAGGTCAGCAAAACCTCACCTCCAAGGAGATCCCCCAGGGAAACGCAGGGGAAATGCCGCAATTTCGGCGTAACAGCGCCCAGCACAGCAAAGGCAGGTTAGATAGATGCACTCATCCGGCATGTGCCTGGCACCTGGCCTAGGAGATTGCACAAATTCCCTCATCTCACAGCCCTGAGGGCTATTCCGAGAAGGTATTACCCATTGATGAGGGGGGCAAGAAAACGTCACAAACTCAAAGCCTGCAGGGACCAGGCAGACAACATGGATGAATTGGTTGGGTTAGGACGGCGGAGACTCAAACAGCCTGAATCACTCCTAAATTGGGCAGGCAGCTCCATCCAAATGCTGCCATGCACCTGCGAATTGGATGTTAGCAGATCCCTGGCTTTTTCAGGAGAATTACCAAACAGGGATTTTTACGTAAAATTTCCTGGGTTTTCCATGTTTTCGAATAGTTTTTCCAAATTAAACACCCCATGGGCAGGTCTGCATGTGCCCCAAACTAAGCTACATTCTACAGATGAAGAAACTGAGGCCCAGAGAGGTAACGTGGGGAACTTAAACCCAGTCCCTTATGTTGCAAAACCCTTGCTTCCCTCTCCCCAGCAGAATGAGCTGGCTGCAGAGGGAGGACCTGCTTTGGCTCCCCTCCTCCCACTGGTGAGGGCTGGGCCCCAGCTCACCTGCAGACTGGAGCTGGGTTTCCCAGGGCTGAAGAAGGAGCAGCAACACAGGCCAGCAAAGGCCTCTCATGGTGCTTGGGAACAGAGAATGGAGGTGTCAGAGCCTGGATGGAGGAAGGAAAATAGAAAAGCAACAGTATTTACAGAGCTCTTATTCTGAGTGACAGGGACTTGGAGGGGGAAGAGAGTTGTGGGTTTATTTTATTACTAATTTCTCTATTTTTGTGTGTTTTTGAAATGATTCAGAATTTAAAATTTTTTATCACAGTGGGATTACTGGGAAACACAAGGTTGGTTTGTTTGTTTGGTTTTTGTTTTAATGGAGTCTTGCTCTATTGCCCAGTCTGGAATGCAGTGGGCGCGGTCTCTGCTCACTGCAACCTCTGCCTCCCAGGTTCAAGAGATTCTCCTGCCTCAGCCTCCAAAGTAGCTGGGACTACAGGCTCCTGCCATCATGCCCAGCTAATTTTTGTATTTTTAGTAGAGACGGGTTTTGCCATGTTGGCCAGGCTGGTCTCAAACTCCCGACCTGAGGTGATCCTCCCACCTCAGCGTAAGCCACCACACTTGGCCCACAAGAGATTCTTTGTGAAACTGCAGAATAGTAAATAAGAATAGATACATAGACACAAATATACAAAATTTAAACAGAAAAAAAAAAAGGCCTTTTTTTTTTTTTTTTTTTTTTTTTGAGACGGAGTTTCGCTGTTACCCAGGCTGTAGTGCAATGGCGCAATCTCGGCTCACAACCTCCCAAAAAGGCCTTTCTTAAATGTCAGGCACAGTGTTAAATGCTCTTCTCGCTTTGTGGCATTCAATCCTCTCTGCAATTGTAAGACTAAGGCTGTGATTGTCCCCATCACATAGATGAAGAAACTGAGGCTCAGAAAAGTTAATCGCTGTTGCCTACAGTCATTCGGCCAGAAAGTGGCTGCGGCAGGAGAATCCCACACCTGCTGGTTTCTGTGAACCAGCCTGGGCGTTGGGTGCCTCTCCTGCCAGGCGAATCTCTGCAGACAGAAGCCCTTCCCCACCTCGGCCCACTCCCCTACGCACACAAGAAGCTTCTGTGTGGCTGACTTCGCAGCTCGCCAACTCCCCTATACCCCTCCACACATGCACACACACACACACACACACACACACACACACACACACACACAGAGAGAGAGAGAGAGAGAGAGAGAGAGAGAGAGAGAGAGAGATACGCATTGGCCATCCGCAGACGGCGGGGAGAGCTGAGCGCGGTGGCGCGGCAGCTCGTGGAACAAAACCCACCGCGCAAGAGAACGCGCGGCTTGGCGCCTGTTTCCCGCCTGCTCTCAGGAGCGACCGCCAGGGGGCGCCCGAGATGGCAGGGGGCGTGGGAAGCCCACATCTGCCCAGCAGGTGCGCCCACCCCGAGCAAACAGCGGGCCGGGGCCCGGGGCCTTGGAGATAAGACCTGGACAGGATATATCCCGCACAAGAACCGGGGAGCAGGAGTGTGCAGGGTTCCAGCGACAGCAGCACTGGACTCGCCCAGAGGGCGGCGGGTGAGCGGCTGGGGCCCGGTGGAGCCGCCATGGACCCTGCAGGGGCAGCAGGTGAGCTCACCCTCCCGCGGCCCCGGAGACGTCCCGTGAGAACTACGAAGGACCCCCCACTGTACAGATAGGAAAACTAAGGCCCAAGAAGGCAGCCCACCGAGCTGCAAAAACAGGATTCGAACCCAGGGTTCCTGGTTCCCCTTCTCCCTTTCGAGGCCCCCGGCGCCTAGAAGTCACTAAACCTCTTTTCCTTCCAGTTCCCACCCCGCCCTGGCGCCCCATGCTGAAGCCGTGTTAGCTATTTTTCTGTTGCTGTTTCTTGGCAGAGAGGGCCAGCCGCCCCTAACCCAACCGCAGCCCCGCCCCCACCCCCCGCCACCCCACCCCCAATTCTGTGAATGCGCCTATTCTGAGCGAGGCCTGTGCCTGCTTCTCACTCCAGGCGGTCTTCTTGTCCGGATTCTTCTCCCCTTTCCCCTCCCAGGCCTGGTAGAAGAACAGAAATCCCTTTGGCAGGGCCGGTCGTGGGAGGGTGACTAAGCTGGATGTGGCAGCGTTGGTGGAGGTGGGAGGGTGGGGAACCCTTCTCTAACTTGGGCCACAGCAAGGCCAGCATCCCTGGGCAGCATGAGGGTTAAGGCATGAAAGGCCATCCTTTCCCACTCAGAGACACCTCTGGGTCCCCACATCTTGATTAAGGTTCCCCTCATGCTGTTCCTGGTCTGAGCCAACATCTCATCTGGCACCCTGCCTCCACCCCAGGAATCCTAGAAAGTCGAAATAGCGACTGCCCAAAGTTCATCACCTTTCCAAATCCCTCGTTCTACAAAGAAAGAAACTAGGTCCAGAGAGGGTGGTGTCTTGCTGAAGGGCACACAGCAATGTTATGGTGGGGTTGACACTAGAACCCAGGATTCCTCTGCAGAGTTCATCCTTGTGTTAAAAAGAAAGATTCAGAGATGCCCTGAGGTGGGGTTGAGGGAGAGGACCAGGAAGGGATGAGAGACCTGTAAATCATTTCTCAAATGTCCCTTAGGAACATTTCAGGGGATTCCTGGAGGGATGGATGAGAGTAGAAAAGGGATGACCCTATTTTGATGGCCTTGCTGGTGGGGGCTTGATTTCAAAAGGACCCTGCAGAAGTGGGGAAGGGTACTGCGAGTCAGACAGGGCACCACAGGCCATGCCTCTGCTAAAATACCGTCGCCTGATCTGGCTTGACACCTACTCCCCTGCAGACCCCGAAGTGCCTCCCAACCCTTTGACTCACCTGAGCCTTCGGGACAGATCAGAGATGCAGCTGCAGAGCGAAGCCGACAGGCGGAGCCTCCCGGGGACTTGGACCAGGTAACGGCGTGGCAGCGTGCCCTAGGTGGGGACTGCCAGGCAGCTGGAGCACGCAGAGGAGGCGGCCGCATTTAACCCAGGGCTGGCGGGTGGGGAGGGGAAGCACAGGCTGCAACCCCTCCCACTGGCAGGGAGGGATTCCCCCCTTCCTCCTGAGGGGGGGCAAGCCCAGCACCCCCTGCTCCTACCACCCTTGGAGCTGCAGACGGGGCCAGCTGCGGGCCAGGCTGGAATTCCGCGACTGGGGCAGCCACACTCGGCAGCCGGAATGCGTTGGAAGCTTAGGAGGCACTTCCTTGAGGAGAGCCCCAAGGGGTGGAGCGGTCCTGGCTGTGGTTGCTGACTGCCTGGCCTGGCTTTGGAGGGTGCGGTCCTACACTGTCCCCTCCAGGACTGAGGAGAGACTGGGTCCTGCCAAGAGGATAAAGGGCTCAGAAGGACAGCCTCAGTGTCCACGGCTCTCCTTAGGCCTCAACCTGCTAACCCCCCACATCTCTCCCCACCGCCACTCCTCTCCTCGCTCCCTGCAATCGCTATGGCACACCCACCCACGCCGATCCAGACCCCCAGGTTGGGAAGCCACCAGGCCTCTAGGCTCTAACCTGGCTCACTCCGCAGGACCCATGTTCTCTGCCTTGACTCCTGTAATCAAGGGAAGGAAAGCCCACACAGCGACAGGCCCCTTCTCATGGGAGAAAGGGAGGAATATGGCTTTAGCCCCAGAAAGGCTCAGATTCCCCCACGCCACCCCCCATCCTGGGGACAAGGTTTTGGGCCCTTTCCTGTTTGCAGGCGGGAGGCTAGAGAGCACTCCCAGGCCAGGAGTCCAGCAAAGGCTCCCCCTTCCCCCCACCCCTCACCCCCACACCCTGCTTCCCTAGGGTGGGGAAGCTTCATCTCTACCAATGCCATCAGTCCTAAAATACTCTTCTCCATCCCAAGGCCAGTATAAGTGTGGCCTTTGTGTCATAGCCACGTGTCCCTATGGCCCTGGGCTCCAATGGGCAAGACGCCAGACCTGCAGAGTGGAGCCTGGGTGGTCCCATGGGCTCTGTGCAGACCTCATTGAGTACCTTGCAGCCTAAATATTTAGCCTACAATTGGCAGCCCAGTCTCCTCCTTACCTAACGCTTCCTATCCCTGACCCCATGGGGGCACAGTGTAGAGCAGCCCCACCCTTCCCCACTCACTCTAACCCCCTGCCCGCTTCATTTTGCTCAACCCGAGTGACTGGACCCTGTGCCACCCTGACCCTTGGCTGTCCCTCCTCCAGCCCGTCAACCTGCCTGCCCCCCCACCCCCCACCCCCACAGGTCATCCCCAGAGCACGCCACCATTCTTCGGGGAGGCGTGCGCAGGTGCCTGCAGCAACAGTGCGAACAGACTGTGCGGATCCTGCACGCCAAGGTGGCCCAGAAATCCTACGGAAACGAGAAGCGGTAGGTGCCTCGGTAGCCCCTCCCAGGTCTCTGCAGCTGTCGGCCCTATGCACCCCTGCATCCACCCACTGGGCCTCCTTTGGACCCAGAGGAGGCCTCAGGACTGAGATCTCAGCTATTGGTCAACCAGGGGCCTTGTCCCTCAGCCACCATTAGCCCCTACTTTGGTCTATAGGCCCACACCAGGAGATTCCCTGTGAATCTCCTGTCTCCATTCATTCACTCATTCTCCCATTTATTCACTTATTCGTTCATTCAACAACTACTTACTGAATGTTTTTCATGTATGCACCGGGCTCTATGGGCACTGCTGGGCACTGCTGGGCACTGGGCATGCAGCTGAACAAGACAGAGACAGCCCCTGCTCTGTAGTCCACACTCTCACGCAAGTGTGGAAGAGACAGACAGTAAACTCCCCACAAATCAGTAAACAAGATACTTGCAGATTATGATGTGCACTAGAAGGAAAACTGAACAAGGCCATTTGACAGAAACTGAAGGCAGAGGTTACATTCGCTAGAAAGGCCAAGGAGGTCGAGAGACCTTTTGGGAGGTAACATCAGAACTGAAACGTGAATGTTAAAATGGAGCCAGACTGGAGAAAATCTGGGGAAAGCGTGCTGCAATTAGAAAAAACAGAAGGGCGGGGTGCAGTGAATCACGCCTGTAATGCCAGCACTTTGGGAAGCAGAGGCAGCAGATCACCTGAGGTCAGGAGTTCGAGACCAGCCTGGTCAGCATGGTAAAACTCCCTCTCTACCACAAATACAAAATTAGCCGGGCGTAGTGGTGGGTGCCTGTAATCCCAGCTACTCGAAAGGCTGAGGCAGGAAAATTGCTTGAACCCGGGAGGCGGAGGTTGCAGTGAGCCGAGAAGGCGCTATTGCACTCCAGCCTAGGCAACAAGAGCAAAACTCCGGGGCGGGGCAGGGGGCTGGCGGTGGGAACCAATAAGGTTTGGATATGAATGGGGTTTACAGTCATGAAAAAGCATGGGGTAGAGCAGGAGGAAACGAAGATTTATGCTACGACCTGCCCTGCTTACAGGAGAGCCAAGGGAACATGGATGCATGAATCCAACGCTCACTTATCTCCGCAGGTTCTTCTGCCCCCCGCCCTGTGTCTACCTCTCGGGGCCCGGCTGGAGGGTGAAGTCGGGGCAGGGCCAAGGTGAGGGCGGACTCAAGGGCTGCCGGCCGCCTGCTCGGTAGGGAGGACCCGGAGGTTGGGCCCGGGAGAGGGGCGGTTCGCAGGCACAGTCTCCCCGCGCCCTCTGGTGGCAGGCGCTAAGCTTGCCTGGCACCTGCGTCCTTCCCGAGTCCTTCCAGAGCCAGTTCGCGTCCCTTTCCAGCTCACCAGGCGGGGGAGTCGGGGCCGACGGTCTGTGGTTACATGGGACTGGACAGCGCGTCCGGCAGCGCCGCGGAGACGCAGAAGCTGAATTTCGAGCAGCAGCCGGACTCCAGAGTGAGAGCGCACGGGAAGGGGTCCGAATCCTGCTCCCATCCCTGCCTCTCCTGGGAAAGGAGGGCTCCTTTAGCCAAGAGATCGGTGGGGAGACCAGGAGGCCGGGATCCCGCGTTAAGGCCAAGCCTGAGAGTGTGGGTGGTGGAGGGTCTGGTCACCACCGACGGGGCGGACGTCCGATATCTGGGAGAGGTTGGTTCATCCGACGGCGGAGGGCTGGGATAAGACGGCCCTGTCCCCGCGAGCCCCTTAGGAATTCGGCTGCGCCAAGACCCTGTACGTCTCAGATGCAGACAAGAGGAAGCACTTTCGGCTGGTGCTGCGGCTGGTGCTGCGCGGGGGCTTGGAGCTGGGCACCTTCCACAGCCGCCTCATCAAGGTCATCTCCAAGCCCTCGCAGAAGAAGCAGTCGCTGAAAAACACCGACCGTGAGCAGGGCGGGGCCTGACCGCGGGCCTGGGCGGGGAGGTGCAACCAAGCCCAGAGAGGCTAAATTGGGGCGCGGAGGTGGGGGTAGGCTGGGCTATAGGGGTGGGGTCAGAGTGGAAAAGGTGGAGTCGGAGCTGAGGGAGGAAGGGGTCTGGATGTGTGCAGCCCAGGCCTGGGGATGAGAAGAGCGGGAGGATGAAAAGCAGAGAGGAAAGGGACGGACACCAAACTCCAGGGTGGGAGGTGGGGGTCCCAAAGCAGACAAAAGTTGAATTAGGCAGGAGCTGAGCTAGGCAGGCAGGGATTGAACCAGGGACAGACTAAAAGTGACATAGGTGGGGCATGGTGGCTCATACTTGTAACCCCAAAACTTTAGGAGGCCGAGCTTAGGGGATCACTTGAGCCTAGGAGTTCAAGACCAGCCTGGGCAACATGGCGAAACCTCATTTTTTATAAGAAAGAAGGAAAGAGGGAGGGACGGAGGGAGGGAGGGAGAGAGGGAAGGAAGGAAGGAAGGAAGGAAGGAAGGAAGGAAGGAAGGAAGGAAGGAAGGAAGGAAGGAGCTGGGCATGATGACCTGTGCCTGCAGTCCCAGCTACATGGGGAGCTGGGATCAGAGGATCGCTTGAGCCCAGGAGGTCGAGGCTACAGTGAGCTGTGATAGCACCACTGCAGTGCAGCCTGGGCAAGCGGGTGAGGTGCTGTCTCAAAAAAAAAAAAAAAGGTGTTTTAATTTTGTTTCTTGAACTGAAAGATATCCAGGCAGCAAAGGGAGCAGACAAATGTTCTGAAGCAGGACTGTCTCCGGTATTACAGTCTTCATGCTTTGGGGCCTCACTCTCCAGCCCAGCCCATGTGTGTCACATTCTCTGCATGGATCTCAGGGGACCCCTCCAGGCGTGAACTGTGAACTGTGAATGCCCAGTGTGTCTAGGCCATGGGCATATTAGCCAGGCTGGCACAGGAGACAGAGGATTGGAAATTATCTGGAAAGTCCAAGGGACCAAGTCAGGCCAGGGCAATGCACTGGCTGCACCCCTAACCCTGACCCTAACCCTGACCCTAACCCTTACCCTAACCCTCAACTTAACCCTGACCCTAACCCTAACCCTAATCCTCACCCTAACCCTGACCCTAACCCTAACCCTGACCCTCACCCTCACAGTGTGCATATCCTCCGGCTCAAAGGTCTCCCTCTTCAACCGCCTGCGATCCCAGACGGTCTCTACACGCTACCTCTCTGTGCAGGACGGGGCCTTTGTGGCCAGTGCACGACAGTGGGCTGCCTTCACGCTCCACCTGGGTAATGACATCTGCAGCCCCCGGGGCGGGGCACTTCCCATACACTAGCTTATTTAACCTTCACCGTGACTCCTTAAGGAAGGTCAACTCTGCCCCATGTGATTAAGGCTCAGAAACACAAAAAGACTTGTCCACAGTCCCCATGAGCTGCTGACTGATGAGAGCTATTCTGACTCCATTATCCATGCCCTTTCCCCTCATATCAACTAAGCTGCCTGCCCCCACCTCTGTCCCACCCAGGGTGGACACTTGTGAGGATGGCCTCGAATGACCCCTCCAGAATTAGACCCTTCAGTCTTAGCTGCTCCCCTAAGTACCACCCCTTCCCGCAAGGCCCATGTGTGATGTGAGGAAGAGCTAGAGGCAAGAAGACAGAGTTTAAAGCAGAAGCTTCGGGGCCCCTGAAAACCTTGCCGCTTCCTTTGTTTGACCCCCAGCTGATGGGCACTCTTCCCAAGGAGACTTCCCACGGCGAGAGGGCTACGTTCGCTACGGCTCCCTGGTGCAGCTTGTCTGCACAGTCACCGGGATCACATTACCCCCCATGGTACAGGAAGGGAGGGCATGCCTGGACGGGTCCCCTGAGATCCATGCAGAGAATGTGGCACACGTGGGCTGGGCTGGAGAGTGAGGCCCCAAAGCATGAAGACACCTATTCTCACTCAGTCTTTCGTGGGACCGGACAGAAGTCAAAGGGCAGGGAGAATCCACTAGTGCCCGTGTGGCTATTGGAGTAGCAGAGAGCTGGCTGGGAGGGCAGCCTCTGGATGCCCGGGCACCTTGCCATCACTCTTCCTACCACCCTTCCACTGCAGATCATCCGTAAAGTAGCCAAGCAGTGTGCACTCCTAGATGTGGATGAGCCCATCTCCCAGCTGCACAAGTGTGCATTCCAGTTTCCAGGCAGTCCCCCAGGAGGGGGAGGTACCTACTTATGCCTTGCCACAGAGAAGGTGGTGCAATTTCAGGTAAGAAGCAGAGAATACCAGCACCAAGTGTCCTGGAAAGTGAGAATACAGAGAACCACAGAATGTAAGGTCATCATCATGGTCATGATTGCTACTTCCTGAGCAATACTGCCTCCCATGGAACATTGAAATCATAGACTCCCAGGACAGAATCAAAGGATGTAGAAAAATAGTAGTAAGTCATAGTATGAAGCAATATTCCTTCCTAAAGAATTTTAGAGTCATATAATATTGGGACTCTAGCCAGGCACAGTTGGCTCATGCCTGTAATCTCAGCACTTTGGAAGGCTGAGGTAGGCGGATCACCTGAGGTCAGGAGTTCAAGATTAGACTGGCCAACATGGTGAAACACTGTCTCTACTAAAAATACCAAAATTAGCTGGGCGTGGTTGCAGGTGCCTGTAATCTCAGCTACTCAGGAGGCTGAGGCAGGAGAATGGCTTGAACCCGGGAGGTGGAGGTTGCAGTGAGCCAAGATCACTCCACTGCACTACATGCTCAGCAATAAGAGTGAGATTCCATCTCAAAAAATATAGATAGATAGATAGATAGATAGATAGATAGATAGATAGATAGAGATATAAAATTGTAGAATGTAAATAAAAATCATAATAGGTAATAGCAGAGAATTATTGAGCAAAGACTATTCAAAGCATAAAGACACAGAATGTAGGAAATTCTAGAATGTGGAAAATAATATTTATCATTAAGCAGTGTTACTCCCAAAAGAATATTATCATAGAATGTTAGGAGATAGAATAATATGTGGAAAATAGCTAGTATTACTCCTTCCCAAAGAATATTCCTTCCCAAAGGAACAATATTCCTTCCCAAAGAATATTAAAATTGTAGATGCACGGCCAGGCGCGGTGGCTCAAGCCTGTAATCCCAGCACTTTGGGAGGCCGAGGTGGGTGGATCATGAGGTCAAGAGATCGAAACTATCCTGGTCAACATGGTGAAACCCCGTCTCTACTAAAAATACAAAAAATTAGCTGGGCATGGTGGCGCATGCCTGTAATCCCAGCTACTCAGGAGGCTGAGGCAGGAGAATTGCCTGAACCCAGGAGGCGGAGGTTGCGGTGAGCCGAGATCGCGCCATTGCACTCCAGCCTGGGTAACAAGAGCGAAACTACGTCTCAAAAAAAAAAAAAAAAAAAAAAATGTAGATGCACAATGTTAAAAAAAAAAAAAAAAAATCCATACTGAATTCTAGAATCCCAAGAAAAAAAGATCCCTAGAAATCAGCTAGCCCAAGCTGGGCTTAATGGCTCATGCCTGTAATCCCAATACTTTAGGAGGCTGAGGCGGGAGGATCACTTGAGGTCAGCAGTTTGAGACCAACCTGGTCAACATGACAAGACTCCATCTCTACTAAAAATACAAAAATTAGCTGGGTGTCATGGGACACACCTGTAATCCCAGCTACTCAGAAGGCGGAGGCAGGAGAATCACTTGAACCCAGAAGGCGGAGAGTGCAGCAAGCTGAGATTGTGCCACTGTACTTCAGCCTGGGTGACAGAAAGAAAGAAAGAGAGAGAGAGAGGAAGGAAGGAGGAAAGGAGGGAAGGAGAGAGGGAGGGGGAAAAAGGAGGAAGGAAGGAAAGAGGGAAGGGAGGGAGGGAAGGAGAGAGGAATGACGGGAGGAAAAGAGAAAAAAGAGAGAAGGAAGAAAGGAAGGAAGGAAGGAGGGAGGGAGGGAGGGAGGAGGGCTGGGAGAGAGAGAAGGAAAGAAGGAAGGAAAGAAGAAAGAGGCAGAAAAGGAGGGAGGTAGGGAGGAAGGCTGAGGGAGAGAGAGAGAAAAAAAGAAAGGAAAAAAGGAAGGAAGGGAAGGAAGGAGGGAGGGAGGGAGGAAGGAGAAAGAAATCAGCAAGCCCAACGAGCTTACTTAACTCTGAAAGAACTTAAGGGCACTGTCCAAGCTGAAGAGACGGGTAAACGCCAGAGCCTGGGATAGGTATCCAGTTGGTCTAATGCAGAAGCCCACGCGCCATGCTGGCTCCTCACGCTAGTGGCCATCGTGAGAAGCTTCGGCCTAGTGCCCTCGGGTCTCCTCCCAGGCCTCTCCCTGCCCCAAGGAGGCGAACAGGGCTCTGCTTAACGACAGCTCTTGCTGGACCATCATCGGCACCGAGGCGGTGGAATTCTCCTTCAGCACCAGCCTGGCGTGTACGCGGGAGCCGGTCACGCCGGTGCCCCTCATCAGCACCCTCGAGGTGAAGCTGCGCTAGGGGCGTTGGGCGGAGGGTACCTTCCTGCACGGGGTGCCAGTGGGAGGAGGGCAGCAGGTTCCCGCCCTGCTCGGTTCTTTCACCTCACCTGGTCGCACCTTCCCCCAGCTGAGCGGCGGAGGCGATGTGGCCATGCTGGAGCTCCACGGAGAGAACTTCCACGCGGGGCTCAAGGTGTGGTTTGGGGACGTGGAAGCAGAAACCATGTACAGGTACGGAGTGGGGAGGCGGCAACCTTGGACCCCGGGGAGCGCTGGCGAGGGGCGGCGCGCGCATCAGCCGAGTCGCCGCAGCCCTCACCCTGGTGCCCCACCCCTAGGAGCCCGCGGTCCCTGGTGTGCGTGGTGCCGGACGTGGCGGCCTTCGGTAGCGATTGGCGCTGGCTGCGCGCTCCCATCACAGTGCCCGTGAGCCTGGTGCGTGTCGACGGGATCTTCTACCCTAGTGCCTTCTCCTTCACCTACACCCCGGAATACAGCGTGC